CCCCTTCTACGTTAGTCGTTACTGTTTCTATTATTAGCAGTATTAGTTTAGAGAGTACCTCCTTAGTTTCTACCGCGGCTACGGTTAGTAGATAGTCGTATCTTAGATTCTAACCGTTGCTATAGCTGTACTATACGCTCTATAGTTTCCACTTCGATTATAAATTGAATTCGTATAAGATTAGCCTATTCGAATACACGGCGGCGGTCTAATTCAAGGATAAGCTCCTACCTTAATTTAGGGCGTATTTCGGAGATCTATATAGAGTCGGTCTTAGCCGGGAGGTCGTCTTCGAGGGTCTTTAAATAGGCTTTAAATAAGCGAGCCGATTGATTAGTTTTTTGTTTAGCTCGAAGGTACTAGTCCTAAGCATATTGTTGCCTTAGTATAGGGTTTCTAAGGGTGTTTAGTATAACGGTCTTGTAGTCTTGCTATTAAATAGCGGTCTAGTCGTAAAGGGAATCAAAATAGTTATCCTATATACGCTTAGGGTCGCTATTAATATACTGTATAGCGTATACGACTAAGGAATAGTCGTCTAGTAGCGCTCTTAGTACGTTGCGCTAGTTAAGCTTACAGTTACGAATGTAGTCGTTGTACTACTTTCGGCTAGAGCTATTAAATATAGTGCAGTCCTTAAGTTTAGCATCCTTCTTCTAGACTAGGACTAGTAGTAAGGATTCTAAGGAAGGCCCTACTATCGGCTTAGTGTTAGTTGTTAGGGCCTCCTAAAGGCGGCGAATTTCGAGGAGGTTGTCCTTTAGCTATTGTTCTTAACGTAGAGCAGCGAGCCTGTTTTAGGTAGCTTCTTAAAGTCTCGCTACTAGCTAGGGGCTAAAGGCTAGTTAGCTATATCGTCGATTGATAATATTGTTAAGTATATCGTTAATAGGCAACTCTAGGTCGTCGCCTAGAATTACAGGTTCTTCGGCAGGCCTAGTAGTAGGCTCTTTAGTAGGAGGCACTTTAGTAGGTACTTTAGTAGGCACTTTAGTAGGTACTGTGCTACTAGCGTTGTCGTTACTAGCGCTACTAGCGGCAGCACGGTTGTTATTGCTTCGTAATAAGCCGGCTATTATAATAGGGGGTAACACTAATAATGTATTATAGGCCCCTAAGATACGGATATAGCGGAATTAGTAGATATCGGCTTAGTGCGATTGATTTAGTATAATAGGCCGTATAGAAGGCCTTGCTTAATAATTAGTACGGTTGTTTCGATAGAATAGTACGTATAGGTCCCGTTCTTCGGGCGTAATATAGTTAGATTAACGATTTTCGTAGCTATACCGCTAAAAGCTTAAAATAAGGACTATCTAGCTACTGCCCTTAAAGGGTAGATCGAATACTATATAAGAAGGGTTACGTTAGCAGGTAGATAGGGTAATAGTAGGTATAGGTAGTATTCGATAGAGATCTAAGAGGAGAGGGAGGAAGGCAGGCTAGTTAGCCTAACGCTAAGCGCTAAGCCCTGCCTAAGGCACTAAGACCCTAGCTTTACTAGGCCTAATTACATACTAATTACGTATAGCCTCTTTAGCTCTAACACTAGTACTCCGCAATATTAGGTAAATAGGTGTAAACTAGGATGTTATCTAGGTAAACTATATAGAGATAGTCTAATAGGCCTAATAGGGCCCTATTAATATAGGACTAGAAGGTTGTAGAGGTATTAGCTAGCCTAAATAGCATAACTAAGTACTCGAAATAGCTATAACGAGTGTAGAAGGCCGTCTTCTATTCGTCGCCCTTACGAATACAGATATAGTAATAGGCGTCCTTAATGTCTAATATAGTATAGTAGTAGGTACTAGAAAGGCGATCGAGGGTCTTATTAATAAGCGGAAGTAGACAGCGGTCTTTAATAGTAACAGTATTAAGTCTACGATAGTTAATACATAGGCGTAGGCTACTATCCTTCTTTAGAACAAACAGGATTAGTGCACTAGTAGGGCTATTACTATACTAGATTCGACTATTAGCTAGGTTCTTATCTAAGTACTTACGTAGCATAGCAAGCTCGCGTTTACTAAGGTTATAAAGCGGCCTAAAAGGGACCTCTTTGCCCTCTATAATATTAATTTTGTAATCCGTCTCTTTAAATATAGGCAATGTCGATGCTAGGTAGTATTTAAATACGTTAATATAGGTCTCTCGAATAGGCTATAGTATACGAGCAAGCTAATTAGGGTCTATGCTATTAGGGGGCATAGGTTTATCGTTATCTCTACCGAGAAGATTAGCCGTTAGATTAGCTAAGGCAGGTATTAGGTTGCTAATAAACAGGACCCTAATATCGTTAGGGCATTCGCTAGTATTAATATATTTAATGTCCTCTTTCCTAGCGATTCTAAATCGCTACTATTAAAGGCCTAAGTCTATAGTTATAGCGTAGTGCTTAAGAATAGGGTTGCTAATAACAATAGTAGCTCCCCTATATAGGTTGTCTATGTCTACTACGTAGGCAGTAAAGTCTAGTAGGCGTTCATTTCCGAGGTCGTCCTTTAGAACTATAGGAATATAGTAGGCCCTATAGGTTAAGTGCCGAGCGTTATTAAACTAAGCAAGGGTTAGTAGGTTAGCTCTATTTAATTGTCGAAGGTCTAGTTGCTTAGCTAGGCGATAGCTAGCAAGGGCACTAACTGAATTTCCTAGGTCTAGTATAACCTTAGTCTTATAGTTAGTTCTATACGTGTCCTATATAAGGTAGGTGTATATAATAGCTAGCATAATGTCGATAGTTTTACGCCGTATAAGGCTAATAGTTAGTACGGCGCTTATTCTTTTTTCGACTAATTAGAAGGACCGATAGGGGTAGCGTTAGCGGCTAAAAGGTGCTTTCGGTATTTAGTAGTAGTACGGTCGATTCGGGCCTAGTTCTTAGGTTTGTCGCATTAGCCTAGTAAATAGCTAGTGCTATTATAGTTAAAGCACTTCAATCCGGTTAGGAGATTGCTATAGCCGCTATTGCTGCTATTATTAGTTAAGCGATTAGTATTATAGGGATACGAGCCCCTTCTACGGCCCCTATTATAGCCTTCTCTATATAGCCGCCGGCTACGGCCTCTTCTACGGTTATTGCTACTATTTCTATTATTAGCATTATTGTTTTAGGTAGAACCTTAGTTTCCTCCTCGGCTACGGTTGCTACGGTTAGTACTAGCTAGTCGGATCCTCGATTCTAGTCGTTACTAGAGCTAAATAGCTCGTTTAGCTATTTCTACTTCGACTATAATTAAATACGTATTAGATTAGCCTATTTAAACATACGGCGGCGGTCTAATTTAAGGACTAGTTCCTATCTTAGTTTAGGTCGTATCTTAGATATCTAGATAGAGTCGGTTTTAGGTAGCAAATCGTCCTTAAGGGTCTTTAGATAGGCCTCGAAGGATCGAGAGGTTTAGTCGGCCTTTTGTTTAGTACGTAGGTATTAGTCTTAGGCGTGCTACTAGCGCAATATAGGGTTACTAAGGGTGTTTAGCATAATAGTCTTATAGTCTTGCTACTAAATAGCGGTCTAATTATTAAGGGAGTTAAAATAGTTATCCTAGGTACGTTTTAGGTCGCTATTAATGTACTATATAGCATAGACGACTAATAAGTAGTTATCTAGCAGTACTCTTAGTATATTGCGCTAGTTAAGCTCGTAGTTACGGATGTAGTCGTTATATTGTTTTCGACTAGAGCTATTAAATATAGTATAGTCCTTAAGTTTAGCATCCTTCTTTTAGACTAAAACAGATAGAAAGGAAGGCCCTACTATTAGTTTAGTATTAGTTGCTAGGGCTTCCTATAGGCGATAAATCTCGAGGAGGTTATCCTTTAGCTATTGTTCTTAACGTAAGGCAGTAAGCCTATTCTAAGTAGCTTCTTAAAGTCTCGCTATCGGCTAGGGGCTAAAGGCTAGTTAGCTATATCGTCGATTAATAATGTTATTAAAAATGTCGTTAATAGGCAATTCTAGATCGTTACCTAGAATTATAGGTTCTTTATTAATAGGCTCTATACTACTAGTGTTGTTATTGCTAGCGCTGCTAGCGGCGCTACGGTTATTATTATTACTTCGTAATAAGCTAGCTATTATAATAAAAGGTAATACTAATAATATATTATAGGCCCCTATAGTGCGGATATAGCGGAATTAGCGAGTATCGGTCTAGTACGGTTGACTTAGTATAATAGGCCGTATAGAAGACCTTGCTTAATAATTAGTATAGTTATTCTAATAGAATAGTACGTATAGATCCCGCCTCGGGCGTAATATAGTTAGATTAACGGTTTTCGTAGCTATACCGCTAAAAGCTTGAAATAAGGACTATCTAGCTACTACCCTTAAAGGGTAGATCGAATACTATATAAGAAGGGTTATATTAGTAGGTAGATAGGGTAGTAGTAGGTATAAGTAGTATTCGATAAGGATCTAGGAGGAGAGAAAGGAAGGTAGGAGAGTTAGCCTAACGCTAAGCGCCAAGCCCTGCCTAAGGCATTAAGACCCTAGCTTTACTCGGCCTAGTTATATACTAATTACGTATAGCCTCTTTAGCCCTAATAAAGAGCCTCCTTATCGTAGATATCGGTAGGTATATAGTCTTATAGTCTCCTAGCCTCCGAGCCGCTAAAATCCGGGATTTTATTCGACTTTATATAGATAACTAGCCTTAGTATATAGAAGATTAATACTATAGTTCTTAAATTAGCGAATGCTTTATATAGGGATATATTATCTTCTTATTAAGGCGTAGGACCCTTTTTCTAGGTTTGTCTTTCTAGAATATAGTCGTAATACTATAGAGGTAAATATCTAAATCTAATATAGGTAATTATATAGGATACGCCTAGTTTAGTTTTAGGCGCTCTACTATAGGCTTTATATAGACCGCTAATACACATACAGAATAGTCTACTTAGCAAAGAATAATGTAAGAGCTACGTAATGAGAATAGTAGTCACTCAATGATATAGAAGGAAGTTTATAGTACGAGTTAGAAGGTCCAAGCAGTCTACAAAGCGGGGCGCCTGAAAGGAGGTAGGCCCAGCCTTCATAAGCCGCACAAGCTTCCGACATCCTGCCCGACCCCGACCCCTCGCCCCACTTTCAAATTGTTGCAATGCCTGCCACCTTCCCAAACATGCAACGAAACATCTTCACTGCTATTCGTAAGATCCTTTGACGTGGCCGAAACACTCTGCCACGCCGCCGACACACTCGCATGCCCGCCTTTGTCCGGGAGATCGGCAATGCTGTGATATGGTCCTACGCGGAGGAGAGATGGCGCGTAGTGCCATTATGGTCGCCTCTATTTCCTTTCCACCACGCTCTCCCTCAAAATTTCCTATGCCCGTCTGCGGCCATGAGCTCCGTACCCGAAAAAGGCAATGGCGGTAACTGCAACCTAGACCCAGAGCTGGAGAAGAAGGTACCAGCGCCGCTGGCAGATGCCATACGATCTCCAGCTCCGGTCTCCTCGGAATTTTAGGAATGGCCCTAATAATCGGTCTCCCCCTCGACAACAACACAGGTCGTCTCGCAGGCTACTCCTTCACCCAAGCCACCGCAACCCCCTTCGTCGCCTTCCTCTCCCTAATCTCCACCAACGTTGCCGGCTACACGAAAAAGACCACCGTCGCGGCCATGTATTTGATCGCGTATTGTGTTGGGAATATCATTGGACCGCAAACTTTCAGACCGAAACATGCGCCGAGATATGTTCCGGCTGAGATTGTGATTCTTTGGTGTTATGGGGTGGGGCTGGGGATTATGTTGTTTATTTATCTTTGGTGTAGGAAAGAGAATAGCAGGAAGGCGGAGATTACAGCGCGGCCTGCGTATCAGAAATTAGAGAATCAGGAGTTTTCGGATTTGACTGATAATGAGAATCCGGAGTTTGTTTATAGTTGGAGATAGTAGTACTTGTGATGAATGATGAGACTTTCATGCATTACACGCCTTCTTGATTTGCCCTCGAATACCATGATGCCCGACACAATCTTCCCATTACTCGCTCTCGCTGAGATGCCTACTCTCTTACGCCCTCTTACCAAAAACCCTTATCCTCTTCACCCCACCATCCGGAATAATAACCAATTTCGCAAACCCATACTTCCTCCCCTCCACCTCCTTCAACTCCTTTCCAGCAACATACTCATGTTCCCGATCCGGTCCCGGCTTAACCGGACTCAAAACCTCCACCCACCCCTTATCCTCATGTCCCGGCACGCGACTCCCATCCCTCTCCGCAGCAAAAACCTGCACCTTCTGCGGAAAATTCCCTCGAAAATGCGCCGTATCAACCACAACCTTCACAATCTGACCCGGAGTCCCTAATTTTATGATCGTCCAATCGATATGTTCGCCTCGGCTTCTCTTCGTCTCCCATCCATCACCCATATCCACACCCCGTCCGGGGAGGAGTAAATTATCTTTTGTTCCGAAATGTTGGTCGCTGCAGGAAACTGCTACGCCGCCGTTGACTGTAGCTGCCAAATCGAAAATTGCATTCACGTCTTGGGGCAAGACTGGAACTACGTCTCCAAAGAGTCGGAACCTGGCGATGCCGCCGTCTGGGTACATCAGTAAACGGACGTGAGTGTAGGGATTTTCCGTGATGCTGGGGAGTTTCCAGGCTTGTCTACGACTGGGACCACAGGGTTGTTTTTCTAGGATCGTTTCCCATTTTCTGTATTCCTTTTTCGAGACTTCTGAGTCGGCGACATCTTCTGTGTTGAAGGTTCCTTGGACCGCGATCTCGGGTGCATGGTTTCCGTCGAAGAATGCTGTGTCGATTTCTACGCCTCTTACTTTTCCACTCGCGACGCCGAGTTTGATTACCACCCAATCGTATTCTTCTGTGTTATGGCGTCGGGTCTCCCAGCCGTCGTACCAGGCTCCGGCGTAGGTGAAGACGCCTGGTTTGCGGATTGGCGGGGTGGGTGTGGTGAGGTTCTCGGCCGCGGCGAACCATTCGTCGGAGAAGGAAAGGATTTTGGAGCCAAGTGCTTTGTTTACGAGGTCTGTAGAGTCAGTAATCAGAGGGATTGGAACTTGACGTGTGATTGTGATATACCAATGCTGCTGGATTTGAACGTTGAATCGATTTCTTGTGCGGGAATAGCTTTGATCGCAGCATTGAGTGCATCTTGAGCGGCGTCTGGAGTAAAGACTTGGGCTTCCATTCCGACAGATTCTGCACTTAGATGGGTGAGCAGTACGTATGAAGCAGCTGGAGGGATGTTCGTGTTTTGGTGGGATGTGTTACGATGCATCTAGCTTATCGATAGCAGTAGTTTCCTCGGCCTTTGAAGGCAATGTCGGCCGGCTGCGACAGGCAGAGGGATAGGGTCTCGTGTCGTGTTAAGCTGTGCTGTGCAATCATGGTGGCGCCAGTCTATAAGATGAGACTAACCTACTCGATATGATCGAGTAAAGGTATGCCAAGTAGCCCGGAAAACTTTTGTGACATGGCATTTTGAAGCACGGCATCGCAGACTTGGGTATAATCGAACGGCAGAGTCGAGCCGATGGGCAATTCGAACGAGATAGCAAGGCTGTCGTTGCGGTGCACATGACACGAATGAAGTCGTCGAATGGATGGACGACTGCGTACGAAATTGAGGTACATTGAGCGATTGCTTTCATCAAGAGCTGTCGTCTAGACTAGCATTTGCGTAGACGCTATGCCTTGTCCTGCCAGGATCCAACTTGTCGAAGAAATCCGGCGGCACCGTGGGAATGTATTTTCGTTCTTGCGTCTTGTTCATACCTCCGATTCCCGAGCCGTAGCTCACAAGCATGTCTGTCGAAGTTGGCAGGTGAAATGGCAGCAATAATGCTGGGTTCATAAGATTGCTCTCTGGCTGGTCGTCTTCGTCAAGAGAGGGAGTACCCGGTGGCACAGGTGTCGATTTGCCGTTGGGGTTCTGAGCTCCAGGCGCGGTCGGCGTTGAAGGTAGGTCCTTGTTGTTGCCAGACTGAGGCTGTGTACTAAGCGCTCTCGGCCTGCTTTTGACCTCTTGTATAAATCGCAAAGTCGGTCTGCTCAAGCCTTTCTCGCCGACTTCTGCACGATAGTGCTTCACCGCGTGTAACAGCTGCATAGAGGAAAGCGAGGGCAGTTGCTGTATTGTAGTTTCCATTGCTTCACGATCTTCCCCGATTGACGAGAAACACTGCAACCATTGTAGAAGTTGCACAACAGGCGCCAAGTGTCGTCGTGCTGCGTCGATCGTCGACTCGCCGCTCGAGGTTGTGTGACCGTTCTCATGGTGCTCTGGCTGCTTATTGTTCGTGCGTGCCCAATCCTCCAGCATTGATATATTCATGCGAATCTGCATAGCTTTGGTGCGTGCCAAGTACCTCTTGTTGGACATTATTCGATTGAAGATCTCGGCGCCCAGCCAGTAGTACAACTGTGATAGTATCTGCGAGACGATGACTGAATGGACGTCGTAGAGATCTAGTACGAAGAGCGTTGATGCGAGCAGAGATGTGATATTCCGCGGCGAGATCTGTGCTTTTCGTTTGGGTGATGGAGGCCCGAATCGCTTCTCCATCGGCTCTGGTTTGACGGTTGACTTCTTCTTGAGGAATTTCCACTCGTTTTGAAACGAGACATCTTCGAAGCCAGGAATGGTTTCATGATCGAGCATGGCGGAGTCGAGGACTTTATCTGCGAAAATGGTCAGCATAGCTTCAACTCACGTCAAATCATCGCTTCCTGACACGGCTATCGAGTTGGAAGTGAGTGTATAGCACTCATCGCAACAAGCCAACAATGTGCCAGGCGGATAAGCACATGCCCCACTTACCCATGCGACGCTCCGCATCTCGGATGATGAGGATGTAGATTTCATGGACGAGTTCCGCCATCTGGGCTGGGAATTGTGTCGTCACTTCAGTGAGACCAGTATCTTTCTTCAGGTAGTACAAAAGCAACGTGGCGTTCGACAGCCAGAATGCCAAGATAGTCATGTCCCATGGATTTCGATCAACGACGGCATAAATCTTGTCTTGAGCAGACTCAAGCCAATCCGTGAGCAATTCGCAGCTAGAGTGGTAATGTGCGTATCGAGCGCCGAGAAAGACGATGTTCGCGGGGACGGGTTTCTGGGAAGCTGATCGTTGCGGTGTCATCTGTGTGATTAGGAAATCCTGTATTCGCTCGATGTCGCTTTCCATAAAGACGAACATTTGGTCGTTCAAACATCGGTCCCAGATGAATTCCTGGGCGTCGTCGTCAAAGTCATCTGGCGAATCTGGCGCCTCGTCCAAGCCCAGGTTGCCAAGATCGACTTCCAGATTAATTGCGCTCTCCATCATCATGCGTCTTCGCTGCTCGCTCTCTGCCAGTTCCTCTTCAAATCGATCTTGAGAGAATCCAGCACTATAGAAGTCATCTGTGACGCCGGCATTGCCTGCAGGAAGAGCAGAGTTAGCGCTTGTCAACATGCGAGCATGCATGCGAACATCTTCTCTGAGGAAGTGGTGATGTTTACAATGCTGCTGGAATCAACTCACCAATGCTGTAGCCATTGTGCTTCAGAAATTCCGACATGACGGTGCCCGGCGGCACGAAATCAAGAGCAGTCCTACCACTTGAAGATTTCAGCTCTGTCGAAGCGCCATGATCCAACAGTAGCTGCGCAATACCCTGGTGCCTGTTCGTGATGGCCCACATCAAAGCCGTCCATTGATTCTTGTCCTGATTATCAACGCTCGCGCCTGCATTCAATAGTGATACGACCACGTCCTTGTGACCGAAGCAGGCTGCATAAATCAGAGGTGGCGTGCCTTCGGCATCGGCAGCGTCAATGTCTAGCAAGTCTGATGCTTCGCCTCGTACCAAGCGCCTGACTCTCTCCACATCGCCATTGCTTGCTGCGAGAAACAGAAAGTCCTGCAGGGCTTGTGCTTTCTGCTGGCGTGACAGACTCTCGTCTGCTAACACCTCATCCTCCTCGGTCTCTGCTATGTTGTTGCCTGAACTCAGTGCCGAAGCAGACAGCATTTGCGCGACTCGTACGTCATCGTGGCCAAAGTTTCGATCAAAATCGTCGTCGGGCTCGTTCAGTGAGAGGTTGAAGTTGAGGGGTTTTGCGACTGTAGGTGCGCTCAGGAATTGCGATTGACCTGGACTCTGTCAGCATCCGGTTCGGCAGCATGGAGCTTCGTCTGGCTTCGAATGCGAACCGTGCCTACCTTGCCATGCATCATAGTATTCGGTCTCTTGGCCTACATACTCGTCGCGCTGATGCCTTCGATCGTCGAGGGACGTGGGAAGGTCGGCGGGCAATCGGCGCGGCTTCTTCACCTCCGGCACGCGCTCGGCTTCCTCACCACTGTCATGGCCATGGTGTGGTGACTCGGGATGCCTCTCCGGGTCCATGCCCGCCCACTATGAAGTGCTCGAGCTGCCTCTGTCCGGCTTCGATCGCGTCATTGAGTCTGGTAGCCGTATTCGTGGTCGTGGTCT